AGTGGCATTTTTGTAAATAGACACCTCTAAATGGCATTTTTGTAAATGTGCACACAAAAAGTGACATTTTTGTAATTGTCCCTATTTTTATAAAAAAACGCTTTATTGATTTGAGTAATAATTTTACATTCAATTAAAAAAAAATTGGTTGTAAATTGTCTTTTTCAAACTATTTGGGTGAATTATAAAAGAGGTAAAATATTTGGTTGCAAAGCCGGAATGCAATTCAAACTTTTGGCTCCAAAAAAAATAGAAACTCGGGAGTTGAAAATGAACAGTTTCTTCCACTGATCGTCCGACGAGGAGAATGGCGACGAAGAAGAAACCTCAGAAGAAGCAAAGCAACAACAATAATGGTTTTGCTTCGAGCCACAAGAAACCATCTACAGTCCCAAAGCTTCTGATTTCGCCGGAGAAGGAGGACCATTTGCGGAGGCTCTTGCTCAGCTTTCGCCGGACCGCTTCTCCGTTTAGGGCTCCTCTCCATAATCCGGCTCAGACGAGAAGGAAACTCACAAATATAAACGGGAAACTCTCTTGCGAAGGCTTCTTAGATGATCAGATTGAATCCACTCTCTCCTCTCTTAGAGTAAGTAACTCTCTCGCCTCTGTTCAAATTCTGAAGAAATTCGTTATTTTCAGTAACATTTCGCCGTTTGTGTTTAAGGATGGAGCGACGTTTGAGACTGTACTTGATTGGCTTTGCTTGCACATTCCGAGTCACGAGTTGCCGGTCAAGTTTTCTGCTGGAGCTACTCGCTTTCCTTCCACAGGTATTGTACCTTCCTATTGGTGTTACAGGAGGTGATATCGACCTCTCGGAAAGATTGGAACGAGGATGGTGAATCTTCGGTCCAGCTAAAGGAGGAAGAGCCTGAAGTCTTAGTTCGAGTAAAGGGAAAGCGAGATGAAGAAGATACTCTTAGTTCTTGCCAACCATCTCAAGCTGATTGGATCCGTCAGTATATGAGAAGATTGGAAGAGGTACTCATATAGAATGCTTCAACCATTTTTCGAAAGACTAATACTTTGATCCAAAGGTGTTAAACAAAACAATATCTAAATCCCAATGGATTTTCACTCTGAACTAAAATTTTCAGGAAGACCTGGAATCTTCGGACGATGATATTGGCTCCAGCAGAGAGGTAACTCAACTCTTTACAAGGCTACCACAAAAGTGTAAACCAGCTCCACTATGAAGGTGGATACGGTTATACCTTCAAGTTTTAATATGTTATAGAATGATGGCAAAAGTATGAATATGTGGAAGATTATGAATTTGGATCATGAATTGTTGTTGTGTTGCAAAACTTATCACGTGGCTGAAGCTTATTTAATTAATGATTAATCTGTCATGGCATTAGAGACTTCACTTAAGTTCTGGAGATATTTTATTGACTTTTGTGCTGGCCATTGTAGTGAGATATTGTTACTTACCGTACTAGGTATCTAATCCAAGGCCTTTCGATGTGATTGCTGAAGAATATCGTTCGGAAAGATCTGATGCTATAAAAGCAAAGAGAAAGGGTGATAAAAGAGGACAGAAACAAGCAGGCCTAGCCATTTGCAAGCTCAAGCAAGAGATATCTGCTCTTGGTTAAGTGAACACTTTTTCTAGTAATCAATCTGTCAATCATGACTTGGTGCATTTATGTCTTGAGCTAGCTGTGATTGTTTTGCAGCAATGTTGGAATCTGAGTTTCAACGTGAACAAGCTTTTGAGGGCGCTACGGAAAAAGAAGTAACCTCCATTGTGCCTGCTGACGTTCATGAGTCAGTAAATGTTGACACTATCTCTGTTCAGCTGTTAGAGGATTTGACCTTGGATGAAAATCCTTTTGGGAGCTGTAGTTCTGAGGAAATTCAACCTAAAGCTCTTCCCTTAACTTCCCCGGGACAAGAATTAGTTTTGTCAAATGATATTTTTAGATGACATGGAGCTTGGTGATTTGTTCTTAGAAAATGTTCCGCCTTATGAACCTTCTCCCCATGAACTCCTGGAGTTACAGAAGAAGAAAATTATGAGAGAACTTTGCAATGAGGAAAATCTTGGGAAACTGGAGGGTATCTGGAAGAAAGTAACTCTTCACTTCACAAGATCCTAGGAGACATACTATTTAGCTTTCGAAATACTATTGCAAGTAATAGGTCTTTGATGCTTTTACTACGAATTTGCTTACTTCTACTTTTGTCAATTTGTCACATATGCTGATTTTATGATTAAGCAGTTGAGTTCTAACAATGTTTGATAGATATAGAACTTCCTCGTCTAGCTACAGTTTGGTTTGTTCTAGTCATATGCTTGCTTCATTTGTAAGATTATCTCTTTAAGATGTACAGGGTCAAGCACAAAAGATCCCAAAGGCATTTCTTCATCAGCTATGTCAAAAGTCAGGGTGGGAAGCACCAAAGTTCAATAAAGTTACTGGAGAAGGAAGTAATTTCTCATATATTTTAAGTGTTATGCGTAAATCCAGTGGATTTGGTAAAAGCAGACAAGCCGGGGGTCTGGTAACTCTTAAACTTCCTCATCAAGTTGAAGATTTTGAATCCATCGAGGTACTCGCTTGATCTGTAACATAAAATTTGATAAGCTTTTGATAGGATGCTAAACAAGTGTCCAGTTAGTGTGAGGAAATGTTGTTAGAATATGTCTTCTCGCAAGAAAGTTAGAGTTACCAGGTTCTGAGGAAAATAAATTAGGACAGCTAGAAAGAAAGGTCTATAGTGTACTATTATCTGCTTAATTTTCTAGAAGTTGTAAGCTGTTAATTGGAAACAATCATCTGTGCATGTATATGTTGACCATATAATCAGTTGTAAGCTAATTATTGTGCACTTGTGTGTGACAGGATGCACAAAACAGAGTTGCAGCATTTGCTCTCCATAAGCTCTTTTCTGATTTGCCTGTTCACTTTGCAATTACTGAGCCTTATGCCTCTCTAGTTTTGATCTGGAAACAAGGTGATTTCGTAAATTTGCTCTCTGTTTTTTGTTTTAAACAAATTTTGTAGCGAGATTTTGAATGATGGACCTGTTTATTGTAGCTTCTGTTTATATTGATATTTGCATGTCCCATTTGAAACAAACTCTTCTCACTAGTTCAGGAAGTGGGAGTATAACTAAACCATGGTAACTCTACAGCAACTATAGTTTGCATTGGAGTTTTAGATTTTATCTGCTCAAATTTTGTGACGTTAGAACTAGCATCAGTATTGAGTGAAATGATAAGAAGATATGAACTGGAGAGGATGAAATACGACATAATTATGTGTTAAATGTTTTGACATATCTTGGGTATCAGCATTCATATGTTCTAGCCTTAAATGTTTGCAATATTATAACCACTCTAAAAGATTTGCTTTGAGCTTTCACAGAGGAATCATTGGGTATATACGAGGCAGAGAAGAAGAACGAAGAGCAAAGTTTATTGACAGCTTGCTTGAGGTAGACAATTTCAGCTTGACCAATTCGTCGAGTGCAATTCCAATGGCGGACTCCTGTGTCAAAGAGAATGACGACTTGGGTGTTGTCAAATCGAACCTTAGAGCGAAAAGTACGTGTCTTGGATTCAGTTTGTCACAGATCGTATATGTTTCTTAAATAAAATAATTCTAGATTTTACTGCCAAAGTCAGTAGCAGGACGTATAATCTTCTGTATGATATGCTACAGGAGACTCTTCGATGGAAGCTGAATGTTCTTCTCTTAAAAGAAAACAAGAAAACAAAAAGAAAATATGGAAGTACAAGGTAAAATAATCTTATTTATGTTTGAACATAAGTTCTAGCTCTAGCAACAGTAAATAATATTATGCGTTACAAGTATATATGTATAAAGCTTCACAGACTAGTTAGCTCATTCCAGTTAGGAATGTAGGACATTGTTTTCGGCATGGTAAAACCTTTTGTTACTGCAATTTTAACTAGTAATCCTATTATTCTTTTCTAGGACATGTTGAAAAGTAGAGCTGCTCTTCCTATATCAAAAGTGAAGAATGACATACTGCACCATCTGAAAGAAAAAGATGTCTTGGTGGTATGTGGAGAAACAGGCTCTGGAAAAACGACACAGGTTTTGTAGTATTGATAAAATTATTTGCTGTTTGCTATCTTTTGCTGAATTTATCTTCCAGCTAGAAGCTTTGAGTCATATCTAATTGATACACTATTCCAGGTTCCTCAATTTATATTGGATGATATGATCGACTCAGGTCATGGTGGGTACTGTAATATTATATGCACACAACCTCGGCGGATGGCAGTGAGTATCTCGGTGTTAAGATGTCATGTTTTCAGTAATTGCTTGTTTGGTTTATTCTGATATAAACTGCGATCCATCTATTCTCGTTGATTTGTATACTTTTCCAAAGCAAAGTGATGTCATTTAGCCTAGTTCTTTACTCTTTCTACTTTTTGTTTCTGTTAGTAATTGCGTTATATGGTGGTTTAGGCTATCTCTGTTGCCCAAAGAGTTGCCGATGTGCGCTGTGAATCTCCTCCAGGTGTACATGACTCCTTGGTTGGTTATCAAATTCGCCATCAAAGTGCAAGGTCTGCCTCTCAATATAAAGCATTTTTCTAACGTTTTACGAGCTCATTTCACTGCGTTCAGCTTGTATGCCTTTCTATCGCTTTATTCACTGTCCTTAAGGAGTAAGGACCCAAGTTAAATGATCAGAATTGATTGTGGCATTGAATTTTTAGGATGACATTTAAGTTGTTGACGTTGTAAGCGGTATCAAAAATCGGCTTCTTTCGCTAATTAGAGCAGAATCAAATGAGTAGATCAAAATTAGGCAATTTAGTTCCAAGGGCTGAAATGTTATGAAGAGTATATTTTGTTGTTATTAATAATTCTTCTAACTATTACGTCAATGTTAGTCTTTTGCAATATGATTCTAAATTCTCTCTGAATTTACTACCAGGCCAATGTAGCTCTACCTCCATGATAAATTGAGGCTAGACATGGATGACTAGAAACAATTTGTTTTTTTTTTTGGTCAATGTTTTGGTGGAATGGAATTGTGAAATTTCTACTATATGAATGTTACTTATCATCCTCCTGTACTTGTTCAGGAGTGACATGACAAGGCTGCTGTTTTGTACTACTGGCGTTCTACTGAGGAAACTTGTGGTATGTCCCCTGTTTTGTGCGCAAGCAGTTGATTCTTTTTACCTTTCTATAGCTATTAAAGATACTGATAAATAGTAGCATTTTTTGTTGCACAAGCATTCTGGGATTTGGATAAAGGTGCAATACCATAACTGCATTACTGAAATTATATTTCTTAGAAAACCTGAACTAGCAGAAAAGATAACACAATACCTGAACAGAGTCTCTGTTAATTAATGTACATTGAGAGTCCAGTAACTGAGATAGTTGCCTGCGTGTAAGGCTGATAAATAAAACTTACAACCACTTGTCATGAATTGTTTTATCATCAGTAGTATCAGAGGCTATAGCTGCAAATTTGTAATAAAACTTTTCAATTCCATTTCCTAGACCCTACAGTGCTATTTGTATAGCATCTAATGGAAAAGCCCACACTAAATTTTTGTCGAGAATACTATAAATTTATAATCAGAAAACCCAATCTTCCTT